CTTTCATTTCAGGGCTTGATAAATCACTTTATAATATCGCCACAATCACACTGTAATTGCAGCGTAATTACAGTCGCTGGATTCCCAAGCAAACGGAGCCCATCGTTGCCCAGCGAGGACTGATGGATGCATGGGGTGCTGCCCCCAGACACTGGCATTGGGCAGGGTGTGCTGCGGGTTTGTATGGCAGCCCTTCTGGTGGCACAGGATGCAGGCGTGGTGCCCTGCACCGCAGTGGTGCTGGTGGGGTCTGTCCTGGCAGAGCAGGAATGGCTTTGGGTGGGCAGAGGGCTGTCGTGGCTCCAGTGGGGGGAGAGCAGCGAGCTGGGGACGCTTAACTCAAATCAAACAACCCAAGAAAAATAAAGGGAGAAGCCAACCAAAGGCCGTGCCCTCAATTTCCTTCCAAGCCCATTTTTCCCCGCGCCCTCTCTCTCTCCCCACCTGGGGGAGCAGAAATTGGAGCTGTGGAGGGGAACGGCCGCACACAGAGCATTGCGTGCCACTGCCACGTGCCCCTGCTCTGCATGCTGCTGGGGCTGCACCCTCATCCTGCCTTGGGGCCGCCCTGCTTTCCCTGCCCACGTTTCCAGCAGCCTGATGGGGTCCGGGTTATCCTGTCCAGTGGGGTCGGTGCCATGCTTTGGGGACAGGCAGGCACTGTCCCCCCCCACAGTACAGCCCAGCCCCAGCCCTCCCACTGCCCCACGCTGCTCGGACTTATCTTGCTAGGACCCACAATTATAATGGATTGGTTTCTTGTTTTCTTTTTTTTTTTTTTTTTTATCATTTCCGTTCCGTTTCTTCATCAGAATGCAAAACGTTAAATATCGCTCTTGTAATTACGGTTAATTTCATAACCAGCACCTTAATTGGATTGGTCTCCGATGGGGAATTCTCGCCGGAGAGAGAAGCAGAAATATTTTGGCGCAATCCATTCTTCCAGCTCATTGTTGAGATTGGAGATGTCGAGTGTGAAATGGATAACAACCCATGTGGAGCCAGAGGCACCCGGGGGGTGAGGGGCAGAGCCCGGGCACGTGCACAGCTGCTGGGTGCTCCTCCTCCCACATGGGCACGCTGGGTGCTGCAGGAACCCCTCCCTGCCCACGGGCCGTGCCGTGCCATGGCTGTCCCACAGAGCTGGCGCTGGGCCCTGGGCCGGAGCTGCAATTTGCTTCGGGAAACATGGAATTGTGCTGCCATTAGGTGCTGCCATTAGGCTGATTGGCTCTCACTCTGTTTATCCTTTTCAATGGGAAACGATACAGAAGCCGAACCGAAATGGAAACCCAGGCCTTGCATTTCCGATTTAATTTCCATGCGCTGCGTTTCCACGTGATTACTTTTGTTCTCACATACAGCCCGGAGTGCAGCCTCTGTGTTATTATCACCACCGCTGGGGAGGAGGAGGAAAGGGTGGAAAGCATCGCTTTCAGCTCAGGCGGAACAAAACCAAAGCACCGCGCAGCACCGTGCCGAAGGGAGCTCTGTGCCGTGGGGACAGCCCTGCTCTGCCGTGGGGACAGCCCTGCTCTGCCATGGGGACAGCCCTGCTCCTGCCATGGGGACAGCCCTGCTTCTGCCATCCCATCCCATGGCACCCTGCAGCTGTTGGGTCAGGCTGGGGGTGCACAGACCGGCCCCATCCAGCAGTGTAGGATGGGGCTCCGCTGTGGCTCTGTGCTCTTTGTTTGTATCTAATGTGTTTTATTGTTGGATGAAACAATAACAACAAATAGAGGCCCTGAAGACAAGCCATAAATAATGCAGAAATCAAACAAGCAAGAAAGGGGAAAGAAAAAGGAATTCTAAGTGTGAAATCATCACAAAGAAAGCCGGGCTGGGAAGAGAAATCTCTGTGTTCACCATCACTCGTGCTTCCCTTCGCTGCCTTTTTTTCTCTGTTTCTCTCTTTCTGGACATTCCTGCAGCGCTGTATTCGTTATTGTGTGAAGGAAGCAATAATTGGGACAGGTGGAGATGTGGCTCACAGGAAGGCTCTGGGCAGGAGGCGGACAGAGGGCACAGCGATGCTCACCTGCTCTGTGGTCAGCCCCTTCCAAAGGGCTGTGAGGCCACTCATTTGGGGCAGCAGTGTGATTATACCAGGGCCGGTCCCAGCCAGAGGTAAATCGGCAGCTTCCCTGGAGCTGTGTCCTCTGAAGTCCTCTTGCTGTTATCCTAAAGGTTTCCGGGGAACGATGCAGTGCTCCGGATCAGCCTTTTTTTAGGGCATTGCGCTGGTTGTGGGTGTATTTTAGGATAAAGCGTGGGAACAGAAGCGGTGCTGTGAGTACGGGCTGACCTTAAATGTAACGTAATGGATGTGCCCACAGTCTCCAGCAGCAGCATCGCTCCGTGAGGCTGAGATGAGCCTGGTCCCCACCTGCTGCAGCTGCGCAGCATCGGTGCCTCCATCCAGGGCTTCACCTCAGAGCAGGGCTGGGATGCAGGGGTGGGGGACCCAGACTCTGCACAGCAAGTTACACCCCAGGCTGCATGGGAGGGCATGCTGCCCTGACCCCACAGCACAGAGGGGATTGTGGATGGGCTGCAGCAGCTGCCTCTGTCCCATGAGGGCACGGCGAGGTGAGCACTGCCTTCCCAATGTCAGCGTGACCCTGGCGCCTCTCCCAGGAGATGCTCCTTTGTCGTTCCGGTGCAAATGTTTCCGTAGTCGAGGAGGCTTTTTCCATCCCCTTTCCACAGCTACATGAAGGGAAGCACAAAGCTCTGCACAGCCCTTCAGTTCCGCTCTGGCCCTGTGCTTGGTGCTCACTGAGCTGGGTGCCTCGTGCTGAGCACCTCCAGCAGCCCATGTCCCCAGAGGTGGGTCTCTCAGAGGGGAGGCTTACTGCCATAAATAAAATGAGAAGCCCCATTTGGACAGCTGGTGCATGTCCTTGGACTGGGGAAGTGATCGTCCCTCTGTAGTGGGCTCTGGTGACGCTGCACGTTGAGTGCTGTGTTGGGCCCCTCACTGCCAGAAAGACATCAAAGCCCTGCAGCGTGTCCAGAGATGGGCAGCAGAGCTGTGAGGGGTCTGGAGCACAAGTGTTATGAGGAGCTGCTGAGGGAGCTGGGATGGGTCAGTGTGGAGAAGAGGAGGCTCAGGGCAAACCTGACTGCCCTCTCCAACTCCCTGACAGGAGGTTGTGGTGAGGTGGGGGTCGGCCTCTGCTCCAGGTAACAGCGATAGGATGAGAGGTGATGGCCTTAAGCTGTGCCAGGGGACGGACAGGTTGGATTATCAGGACGAACTTCTCTGAAAGAGTTGTGAAACAGTGGTGCAGGCTGTCCATGGAGGTGGTGCAGTCACAGTTCCTGGAGGTGTCCCAGGTTCGTGGAGATGTGGCACTGAGGGATGTGGGCAGTGTGCATGGTGGGATGAGTTGGGGTTGGACAAGATGATCTTGAAGGCCTTTGCCAACCCTAATAGTTCTGTGATCCTTCACAGTCCACCTCCTGCTCTCCTGATGACCCAAGCTTGAAACATCTCCAGGGCACTTGCTCCCAAGGCAGACCCTCAGGGGACATCCCCCAGCAGACACAGCCCTACAGGCACTGCTCAGCTGCGGGCAGCCCTTGGCTGCAGCAGTTTGGTGTGCATGGAGCAAGGCTGGCTCTCAGCCTGAGCTCCACGGTATGCTGCACCTTCCCATGCTCATTTATCTCCTGCTAGCTCAGGGCTCTGCACCCGAGGCATCCACAGCTGCCTTTGCAATTACTTATTGATCACTTGTCAGGATGTTTTCTTTGCTGATGGGTCACTGAAGCATGTGCAGCCAAAGAGAGAAAAAAACCTTGAAAAACGAGGGAGCAAAGGTGTAAGGAGGGTGAGCAGCTCTGCACAGCTGTGATCTGAGCGAGAGGGATTCAGCAGAACCATGGAGCTGATGGGATCTCCTTGCCAGCACCCTGCTGACTTACCTCCCCGGGGCAATGGGACTGCTGCACTTTGGGAGGAAGAGCCATAGCCATGGGGAAGCCCTTTGCGCAGCAGTCCCATGGGTCGGGAGCTGTGGGCACCTGGTGCCAGCCAGGCCATGTCAGTGCCGGAAGGGGATTTACATCTTGATACTTCTTCGTGCTCTTTTACAGCCCCGGAGCAACTGCCACGGCAGATCAGGTTGCGGCGCACCTATTCCAGGCTCCATCTCGGAGCAGCTGAAAGCAGATCCTGCAGCTCAGAGATCCTTCTGTGCAACCTCCCGGAGCGCTGCGCATTCCCAAGCGGGGAGATGGTGCCACCCCACCTGGGGTGGGAGCGGGGAGATGGAGGAAAGAGGCCGTGAATTTGCACTGGGCGCAGAGGGAGTGATGGAGAGAGGCGGAAATGGGCACGAACGTGTTTGGCAAATTAAAGCTTCTCCCTTTGTTTTGCTGCTTTGCAGATAGCTACAGGAACACTTAGTGCAGAGCCCAGGGTCTGGCTAAGCAACTCTTCTAGCAGCGGGAAAGGTTGTTAAATATTTATTTGTAAACCTGGAGTCTTTATCTCTAAAATGTAGTCAAGTTCAATAAAACTTGATTTAGCCGGAGCAGCTTCGAGGACAGCACCGACTCCGGGAGTTGCATCCCAGAAGCTCCGTGCAAAGGCGGTGGTACAGAGGAGGGGTTGAGCTGGGGGCTGACCCCCTGCCCACACCTATAGCCACAGCCCCACCCTCAGCCGTGCCTTCAGCCGTGCCCCCCAGCCCTGCTTTGGCCCCGCGCACCGTGGGGCCCCAGGGATTTGGCTCGCTCCGTCCTCGATTGCCTGCGTCGCTTGATGCTCTCGAAAGCATCTGGTTCAAGGGTGAACGTCTCACGCGCTGTAATTTATGAATGCCAGGTGGGCTTAGCGCTGACGCGGGGGTTTTGCCGCTCGTTTGCTGTCGGCGCAGCAGATTGCATGGTGCAGCTCCAGTCCCAATGCTGGGCACCCTGCGGGCAGCAAGCACGGCACAGCTGGGGCGGGGAGGGAGCAGCACCCTGGGGTTGAGCCCAGGCGCACGGTGGGGCTCCTCGGTGACATCCCAGGGTTGGTTTCTCTGGGGATGTTCCTCCTGTGTCCGTCACAGCAGCACACCCCGCTCACGTCAGCAGCCTGGCCCCAGAATAGCATCTTTCCTCCCAGCTCAGCGGGTACTGCCGCATTTAGCACCGTGCCCATGGGCCATCTGTGCCCCTCGGCAGCTCTCCCCCAGATGGGGCTGTGCCTCCGAGCTCCCCGTCCCCAGGCAGCGGGTGGCGAGGGTGGGTGCTGGATGCCATGTCTCTGGGCACTATTTTTTCCTTTGGTTTGCACTGATTTGATATTTGTGTGATGCTAGTGATTCCGGCAGCTGCTCCCTTCTTATCGATTCACTTTCTATGTTGGTGCCAGAGGGCTGCAGTGCTCCCCAGCTGGTACCAGCTCGTGCATCGTAGCCATCAGCCCCGATCCCAGCTGAGCACTTGGGGTGGGGGTTCAGGTGCTGCAGGGTCAGGCAGGGTTCAGGATCTGCCTTGTGGCATGCCTGGAAGGGCTTCACCTACTGTATGGCCCAATGGAGCCATGGAGGATTCCACAGCACACAGCCCAGCCGGAGCTCAGCCTGCCATGCCAAAGCCTGCTGGGCTCCAAGATGGTGCTGGTGGATGGTTTTATGCCCGTCCAGGATCGCTCATCCCGAAACCTTAACCTTGCAAAGAAATGCTGAATTTATTTTTCTGCATCAAAAGTTATACTTATGCCATCTAGCTCTATGAAATGATGCATATAAACAGACACAATTAAAGTAACGCACAGAATGTATACCAGGCCCATAAATAGTGCTGCAGTAGGGAAAGTAATGGACAGTGCATGTAATGAGGGATATAAAGCAATGCAGCGATAGACATAAATAGCGTTGGTAGAAGCAATGCAGAGCCTACACATAACAATAGATATAAACAAAGTCCAGAGTAGCTGCTCATCTCATTTGTAACATTAATATGATTTGATTCCTCATAGCAGCTTACACAATAAGGGAAGGAATGCCATGGAGGCAGTGAGGGAGAACTCCTTTCTGTCCCAATCCTGGACAGGAGCTGCCCATACAGTGCCCAGGGAAGGCCACCAGTGCTCCCAGGACAGGCAGCAGAGGGCCTCACAGAAGGCCTGGAACCGGGAAATGGTGAGCTTGGAGGAATGCAGCCCTGAAGTTGGCTGACCACAAGATGTGTTTTGAGATCATCAATGAGGGATGCTGTACCCGATGAAGCACAAATTTCCTATGCAGCCACAGTCTGCAGAGTCCCAGTGCATAAGGGGAGCTGGCCTCTTACAAGACCCCCAGTGTCTTAGATGCACTTGCACAATGGCCCCATGTAGGGACACTCAAAGCACACTTCTGTCTTAGAGATAGATATGATGGCCCCTACGTAGCTGCGTGCAAAGTGCACTCAGTGTCTTAGAGACAAGAGCTTGATAGCCCCTATATAGGGGCACACAAAACACACCCAGTGTCTTGGGGGGGGGGGCGTAGGAGCCCCTCTATCAGGCTGCACAAAGTGCCTCAGAGGAGTCCCTATCTGGGGGGGTGCAAAGGATACCCAGTGTGTTAGAGGCAAGAGCTCTATGGTCTCTAACAGTGGCAGTGAGTGTGCCCAGTATCTTAGAGACACACACAGAGCAGTCCCTATATAGAGGCACACAAAGCACACCCAGTGTCAGAGGCACGTGTGTAACAGCTCAGTGCTCCTGATGTCTTAGAGGTGCACAAACTATGTGTAGGGGCATGCACCTCTATATAGGAGCATGCAGAGCACACCCAGTGTGTTAGCTGTGCGCTCACAACAGCTCCCTGACATGGTGTGCCATCTCTTGCCCGTGTGTGAGAAGCCTTCCCGTTGTCTTAGTGTGTGGTGATCCCTCTCCCTGCTGTGTTCCAGCCTCACACCGGCCACTGACCAGTGTCTCATCTGGTACTTTTTGAGGATTCTGAAATCAAAGTGCCAACAGAGTTCTCACCTTGTTAGGTGGCAGATAATGTCACCTCTACCGGGACGGTAAACCGCCTTCCTCGTTTCTGCGCAGTGTTTGCTCACCTCCAGCTTTTCTCTTTCTCTGCCCTGTGTTTTGCAGGTGAGAGATAGGATGTTAGCTGGGGAGGCGAGTATGCGCAGCCCAATCCTGGCCTGCTGGCAGCCAATTCTCCTCCTGATGCTGGGATCCATCCTGTCCGGCTCTGCCACGGGCTGCCCTCCGCGCTGCGAGTGCTCTGCCCAGGAGCGTGCTGTGCTGTGCCATCGGAAGCGATTCATGGTCGTCCCGGAGGGGATCCCGACGGAGACCAGGCAGCTAGACTTGGGTAAGAACCGCATCAAGACGCTCAACCAGGATGAATTTGCCAACTACCCTCACCTTGAAGAGCTGGAGCTAAATGAGAACATTATCAGTGCCATTGAACCTGGGGCTTTCAACAACCTCTTCAACCTCAGGACGCTGGGGCTCAGGAGTAACAGACTCAAGCTGATCCCCTTGGGGGTGTTTACTGGACTCAGCAATCTTACCAAGCTAGACATTAGTGAGAACAAAATTGTGATCCTCCTAGACTACATGTTCCAGGACTTGTACAACCTGAAGTCTTTGGAGGTAGGGGACAACGACCTTGTCTACATTTCCCACCGGGCCTTCAGCGGCCTCAACAGCCTGGAGCAGCTGACCCTGGAGAAATGCAACCTGACCTCCATCCCCACGGAGGCCCTGTCTCACCTGCACGGCCTGATTGTGCTGCGGCTGCGCCACCTGAACATCAACGCCATCCGGGATTACTCATTCAAGAGGCTGTACAGGCTTAAGGTCCTCGAGATCTCACACTGGCCCTACTTGGATACCATGACATCCAACTGCCTGTACGGGTTGAACCTGACCTCCTTGTCCATCACCCACTGCAACCTGACGTCCATCCCGTACGTGTCGGTGAGGCACTTGGTTTACCTCCGCTTCCTGAACCTGTCCTACAACCCCATTGTCACCATCGAGGGCTCCATGCTCCATGACCTGCTCAGGCTGCAGGAGATCCAGCTGGTGGGAGGGCAGCTCACCACGGTCGAGCCTTTTGCCTTCCGTGGCCTCAATTACCTGCGCATCCTGAACGTGTCAGGAAACTTGCTGACCACTCTGGAAGAGTCGGCCTTCCACTCGGTGGGCAACCTGGAGACGCTCATCCTCGACAACAACCCCTTAGCCTGCGACTGTCGGCTGCTGTGGGTTTTCCGACGGCGATGGAGGTTGAACTTCAATAAGCAGCAGCCCACCTGCTCTACCCCCGAGTTCGTCCAGGGCAAGGAGTTCAAAGACTTCCCTGACGTCCTCCTGCCCAACTACTTCACCTGCCGCCGGGCTCGGATACGGGACCGCAAACCTCAGCAGATCTTTGTGGACGAAGGCCACACGGTGCATTTTGTCTGTCGGGCAGACGGGGATCCGCCACCCGCCATCATGTGGCTTTCTCCCCGGAAGCACCTCATCTCGACCAAAACCAACGGGCGGCTCACTGTCTTCCCTGACGGCACGCTGGAGGTGCGCTACGCTCAGATCCAGGACAACGGCACCTACCTATGCATTGCCAGCAACGCGGGTGGCAACGACACCATGCTGGCCCACCTGCACGTGCGCAGCTACTCCCCAGACTGGCCCCACCAGCCCAACAAGACCTTCGCGTTCATCTCCAACCAGCCCAACGAGAGCGATGCCAACAGCACACGTGCCACCGTGCCTTTTCCCTTTGACATCAAGACTCTCATCATCGCCACCACCATGGGCTTCATTTCTTTCCTGGGCGTCGTGCTCTTCTGTCTGGTGCTCCTCTTCCTGTGGAGCCGGGGGAAAGGCAACACCAAGCACAACATTGAAATCGAGTACGTGCCACGCAAGTCTGACGCAGGCATCAGCTCTGCCGACGCACCGCGCAAATTCAATATGAAAATGATTTAACCAGGCAACTATTTGCAAATAGTTTTGGTTGGGTTTTTTTTTTTTTTGGTTCTTGTTTTTTGTTTTGTTTCGTTTTTTTTTTTTTTTTAAAAAAAAGAGAACATATGAACAAATAAAAAAATAATTTAAAAACATTGGTACAAACATACCGACCTCTCTCCTTCCACCACGCCCTCCATCCCAGTCCAAACTCTCTGCACCCGCACCGTCACCACCTCTTTCTCCTCCTCTTCTTCTTTATACCAGGAAAACATTCAGCCGATGTCTTCAGGACTCCTGTGTTTGTAAGGACTTTGTCTGATGGACTCTGGTGTCAGATATAATTCTGAGAGGGAAAAACAACAAGGGGGGGGGAAAATAAACTAAAAAAAAAAAACAAAAAAAAAACAAAAAAAAAGAAATAAAATCAATAAAAAGTTACAAACTTTCTTCTGTAACTTTGATTTCAATAATTATGAATTTTTATGAAAACTTGAAATAATAAAAAACCCTATTTCCTATAGATAGTTGGAATGCAAAATCTTGACTTCTGTATCTCTGGCGACTGCTCGGTTTCTCCCCTCTGGAGCTGTGGTCTCGGAGGCACTTTCCAGCCGTCTTGCACAGAACAGCCCCAGGCAGTGACTCTCCTGCTGACATCGAGGGCTCATGCTGCCCACAAAATACACTTTCCTGGTGCCCTAGGCCCTGCGCAGCGCACCCGGAGGAATTCAGCTTCTTTGCCGAGGACTGGTTGTATTTTTACAGCCAATTCCCAAATGCCCATCAGAGTGGTGAGCGCAGCCCTCAAAGCCCAGGGGAGCAGGGCCGAGTCTCTGATGTGCGTAAGGAGCACACAGCAGGGCTGTCTGCCTGCCCTCTGCGTGCAAAGACTGAAAGCCCCAGTGCAGATGGGGATGCCTGGGGGTCCGTGGGAGAGGATTGTCTGCCCGCCGTTGCCAGCAGCACAGTTGTCTCTCCTCTCCAATGGACATCGTTCCCCACAGGCAGGGATGCTGCAGTGCTATAGCACAGGGCAGGCAGTGCCCTGCTGGAACCCAGCCTTGCAGCACCCAGCAGCACAAGCAGTGATGGGTCCACTGAGGTTTCCTTCCTGCAGTGACTCTCACAGAGGATTTGGGCGCATGACAGCTGGCAGTCAGACTTGCAAGCACCCTCAGGCACGTCCGAGGGAATTTGGCTTCCAGGCTCGTCTGGAAATATGAAATTACACACATATATAAATAAACACGGACACGAACACGCTGCCTGAGCCAGGGGGGAACAGCATGGAGGTGGGGCAGACTGCCCTGATGCTGCTGTGGGTCGCCTATCACCATGGTGTGTCAGGCAGAATTTCTTCTCAGAAAGAGTTGGTGATGTACCGAAACAGGCTGAGGTGGTGGGGTCACCCTGGAGGTGCTCCAGAACCGTGGAGATGTGGCATTGAGGGATGTGGTCATTGGGCATGGTGGGGTGGGTTGGAGTGGGACAGGGGGATCTTAGAGGTCTTTTCCAACCGTAATGATTCTATGATTCTTTATAGTGTCAGTGGCACCTCAGGGGATGAGCCCAGATTTGCATGCTTGGCTTGTAAAGCACTTAAGGAGTCTTCGGGGATCAAAGTCACTACAACATGATAAAAAATAAGCAAAAGGAACCTGGAGTGCCAACAGAGAAAAGAATGGATTTTCTTTTCTTCCAGCGATGTGCTAATCTAGGAAAAACAACCTGAAACATCTGTGCTCATGGGAAGAGGGATTTTTTTTTGCTGGTTTCAGCTTTCCATTCACCTTGAAACAAAACATTTTGCATTTCTTTCTCCACAGCAGGCTTCAGGAGCTTCATGTTTTAGCTTCTCATCATCTCTAACCCATCCTCCCTTTTCAGTTCTGAAACCCAACTATTTTTAAAGCCGTTTGCTTTGTGTTTTGCTTTTTGAGAGAGTCAAAACACAATGGCTTTTTGCAGGCTCTCCCTCCCACCAGTGCTTAGCCACCATTTGCAGTGATCCAGGAGTGAACCCAAAGTAACAAACCAGAAGTGCCTGCAGCTCCATGTGCTGCAGTGGCCAATGGACGGACCCAGTGGTGCTCCCTGGAGATGAGGAGCTGTGCCCAGCACCACTGTGGACCGTGCTCTGCCCCACACAGGGTGTGCACATTCCTCTGCCCAAGCTGTGCCAGGATGATGGTGACAACTCAATTGGCAGTTCAACAGACACCAGAAGGGTGGAGGGGTTTCCATGTTCCTGGGCAGCTATTAACACTGCCGGTTTGGAAGAGCTTTTTAATTGACTCGTTATCCCTTTTTAATGCCATAATTAAAAGAGCTAATTCAACACACAGAGATTTAAATAATAATAATAATAATAATAATAATAATAATAATGCTAACAAGCAAGTCCAGCAAGGTATTTGCAGCGCACAGCAGTATCCTAGCAATCAAAGGGAAGGAATCAGGTCTTAAAAGGGAGCTTTAGGAAAGAAGAGAGAATATGACTTCTGCTCTGTACAAGGTCCTGCAGCCCTCTGCCCCTTCCCAGGCACCCGCACAGCCTGAGCACACAGCTGGGGGTGTCCCCAGGAGAGCCACCCCGTCCTCATTAGCTGCTCCCCTATCAGTGCACCATGCACTTCTTTATCTTTGATGCTCTGTGAGCTGGATCATTTCTTTTTCTCAGTCACCGGGTGATTAAAGCAGATGGATGGAGCAGGAGAAAAGCATTTTAGAAGGGCCAGCATCTCAGATCAGCAATTTTCATGGCCATAAAGATGGGGAGGAAAAAAAAAAATAGAATAAACTCTTTCTCTCTCTCCTTTGCTGAAATTTACAGTGTGTTTCTATTGCAGTTTAACCAGTTGAGAGCAGGGGCTGACTGCCAGCACTGCTCATCAGGTAACCATGGGCTGTGCAGCACAGATAGATGCTTTTCACTTTATTTTTTTTTATAAGGATAAATAGAAAGCTTTATAAAACAGCGTAAAAAAAAACAGGAAGAGGTGTGCTTAGGGCATGGAGGAGCTGCCCAGCTCCTCACGGCCTTCCCATTTCTATCAGGCTTTATCACTACCCCATTTTTTTGCTCTGTTCCCACTAACTGCCTTCCTCTCTTCTCTCTCCTTCAGTCAATCGTTGACTTTTTCCCCTTTTCCTCCTTATCATTCTGTGCACCTCTCTCCCTGCTGCCATTCCTCTATCCATGCTCTCCTTGCTCTCCATGATCTCCTCTCATCACACACCTCCCCCTCTGCTCCCCTCAGTGGGTCCCATCCTGCACCCTGTACATGTAGAGGATGCTCCATGTCCTTCTTGTACTGGGGACCCCAGGCCTGGACACAGTACTCCAGATGGAGCCTCACAAGGACAGAATAGAGGGGGACAATCCCATCCCTTCCCACTGCCACTGCTCTGTTGATGCAGCCCAGGATGCCCTGGGCCTTCCAGACCCAGCACACTGCTGGATCATGTTCAGTTTTTGTACACCAATGCCATCATTCCATCATAGAAAGATGGGTCGGGCACAATCTGCCCTTGGTTAAGCCACACTAGATGCCTCAGATCACCTCCTCATCCTTCACGTGCCTTAACATCTCTTTCAGGAGGACCTTCTCCATGATCCTCCCAGTCTGTAGTTATTCAGGTCTCCCTTTCTTAACAATGGGAATGAAGGTCTCCCCCATCCTGCCCCATCCCCTGCTCCCACCTCACCACTCCTCACTATCTACATGCCCCCTAGCCCTGCCCAGCTCTCTGCCAGACCATGCCCTGTAGCCCGTGGCACCCGACTCTGCAGGATGGCACAGAAGGGCCCTGCACATGTGGGTGAGCACCTTGGAGGAGGTGGGGGCTGCAGCGCTGCTCCACCCTGAAGCCCTGCTCCTCCAGACCCCAGCACCAGGCCTATGGCTTCCTTCTCTATTTTCTGGGTCCCTATCTGCTTGCTTATGAAAGATTTACTGCAATTCTACTGCTTTATGATTAAAAGCCATAAATTTTACTGGGCCTTTTTCTTATTTTCCATAATCTTCAGGATTCAAGGCAATCAAATTTTAACTGGAAAGCATGGGCTGTGCAGTTAGGTCCCACTGTAATGGGGAACGGTTCATTTCCCAATCCACCTTCATTACTGAGCTACTAAAGAAATATTGCCCCGTGAAGGGGATTTTTCCTCTTTCCCTTTAAAACAATGCACTCAGCTGAGCCAAGGATCAGAGGAGCAGTGTGAACCTCAACAAAGTACAGCGTTCCCCCCCACTGCACCTGAGGTTTCTGGGCTGTTTCCTGGTGGACTCGGGCAGTGCTGGGGGTCCCTGTGTGCCCAGAGCAGGGTGCAGGATGGTGGCAGTGGGTCCCATCAGCAAGCAGCTCCGCAGACTTCATCATGTGCCTGTTACAATCCAGGTAATGAGACATTTCGGTCAAATGAGCTAATTTATTCCAGTGGCACTTTAATAACAAAATCAATAAAACTACACTTCCCAGCAGGGCTTTTTCATATGCTAAAGCTTCAGCATATCACCTGGATATTCTAAATTCTCTCCCTGAAATAAAGTGCAAAGTTTAGAAGACAGATGACACCATTTGCAGCACTAGCAGGATAATGCCCTAATAAATCCAATGCCACCTGGGCACTTTGGAGCTGTCACACACTGCGTGTGGTGGCCACACGTTCCAATGACGTTCAAAAGCAGCAGCTCAGATCAGACAAGACACCTCCCTTCTCCCTGCCCTCCCACCTCACCATCCCCCCAATAACCCTACGCTGCTTTACCACCACTCCCCACACCCAGCCATGCCGACGTCCCCCAGCAGTTCCCCCTCCCCTCCTTGTCCCTCCAGCTCGTGCTTCCTGAGCCTATCAGTGCTCCCCAGCCCTGAGAGCTGCAAAACCAATTAGCTCACTACAAAGGCTGAGAAATAATTAGGGACTCCAACGAAAGCACAAAACTAGGGCATCTCGCCTTAAATAACTGCCAGGAAGTCTCTCTCTGCGCTGACGATACCCTGCAATTGCCTCAAGCAGCTGATCAGCCCGCTTGCTGTCCCTCAGCTCCCAGCCCAGCCATAATCACTGAAGGTGTCTCGGTCTCCAGCTCATCCCTCCCACAGGTGCATGTGCTCTGCTGCTCCCAGGCACTGAAGCAGGCAGGCAGCCCCATGCAGACGTGGGCACTGCTGGTTTGAGTGCTGCCATTCAGTGGTCCTCCAGCTCAGGTTTTCCCTGGGGGAGCAGCAGGGAAGCAAGCACTGAGCACAGTAAATATTTTGGAAGAAAAGCAGTTGTTTGCAACATTTCTTATCCACTTGCCTCCAGGATATTACAGAAGTTGTTTCCCTATGCAGCACTACTGCACCCATCCCATCTCATCCCATCCCACCCTATCCCACCCTACCCTATAGCATCCTATAGCATCCCATAGCATCCCATCCCATCCCACCCCACCACCTCCCATCCCATCCCATCCCATCCCATCCCATCCCATCCCATCCCATCCCATCCCATCCCATCCCATCCCATC